TATTAAATTAAAAATTAAGATCCATTTATTACATCGGTGATCCGTTTATTTGACAATCGCCAATTGCAGTCAGCAGGGTTTAAGAACATTTGTTGTTCGACCTGTTAGTCAAATGCGTTTGGTAAAAATATACTTTTTCACTTATTTGGTCTTTTGGAAAATGTTGTTAATGCTGAATTTAGACCCCTCTAACAAGAAATTTGTTTTGCATGCACACGTATAAAAATTGCGGTTTTTATCCAACGCAATCATAGGTTTGAACGTTGTTTTCAATTTAGACTTGTTTATATTTTTTCGTTTGAGCCTGTATTATATTTGCCTTCGGGTTTATATGATCCGTTCATCCTATTTTGACTCTTCAAAATTCAAGAGTCTATCCTAAATTGAGGTAAATTATATGGCCTTCCAAATACCGTTTCGATTCCTAACATCAATGTTAGATCTGTAAATTTGCTTTCGCAAATTTTTTGTTCTTCCCTCGCCGGGATTCGAACTCATGTTACTGAGATATCGTGGCACCAAATCGCCTTGCACTATGCCCGACGCGCTTTTTATTTTTATCTTTATTAAAATAAATCATCAGATATAACTACATGTTAAAACTGATAAAACTAATCAAATATAAACAACATTAATCAACATGCATACAGTAATAGAAACAATGAGGTTTGTCATCTATATATCATACATTTACAAATCAAATACTAAGACATCATCTGTTTCTTGTACTATTGGATTGTTTTTTAGAAAGTTCTTTTCAAAAACATTGTTCTTGTTATTTTGCTGACACAGGTATTATACATTACTAGAGGCTCTAAAGAGCCTGTGTCGCTCACCTTGGTCTATGTGCATATTAAACAAAGGACACAGATGGATTCATGACAAAATTGTGTTTTGGTGATGGTGATGTGTTTGTAGATCTTACTTTACTGAACATTTTTGCTCCTTACTATTATCTCTATCTGTAATGAACTTGGCCCAGTAGTTACAGTGGAAAATATTTTGTAAAAATTTACAAAAATTTACAAAATTTATGAAAATTGTAAAAAATTTACTATAAAGGGCAATAACTCCTTAAGGGGTCAATTGACAATTTTGGCCGTGTTGACTTATTTGTAGATCTTACTTTGCTGTACATTATTGCTGTTTACAGTTTATCTCTATCTATAATAATATTCAAGATAATAACCAAAAGCTGCAAAATTTTCTTAAAATTACCAATTCAGGGGCAGCAACCCAACAAGGTGTTGCCTGATTGGTCTGAAAATTTCAGGGCAGATAGTTCTTGACCTAATGAATAATTTGTTTTCGTCAGATTTGCTCTAAATGCTTTGGTTTCAGAGATATGAGCCAAAAACTGCATTTTACCCTATGTACTATTTTTTAGCCATGTCGGCCATCTTGGTTCGCGGGCAGGATCATCGGACACATTTTTAAACTAGATACCCTAATGATGATTGTGGACAAGTTTGTTTAAATTTGTCGTAGTAGTTTCAGAGGAGAAGATTTTTGTAAAAGATTACAAAAATTTACGAAAAATGGTTAAAAATTGACTATAAAGGGCAATAACTCCTTAAGGGGTCAACTGACCATTTTGGTCAAGTTGACTTATTTGTAGATCTTACTTTGCTGAACATTATTGCTGTTTACAGTTTATCTCTATCTATAATAATATTCAAGATAATAACCAAAAACGGCAAAATTTCCTTAAAATTACCAATTCAGGGGCAGCAACCCAACCACGGGTTGTCCAATTCATCTGAAAATTTCAGGGCAGACAGATCTTGTCAGATTTGCTCTAAATGCTTTGGTTTCAGAGATATAAGCCAAAATCTACATTTTACCCCTATGTTCTATTTTTAGCCATGGCGGCCATCTTGGTTAGTTGGCTGGGTCATCGGACACATTTTGTAAACTAGATACCCCAATAATGATTGTGGCCAAGTTTGGTTTAATTTGGCCAAGTAGTTTCAGAGGAGAAGATTTTTGTAAAAGTTAATGACGACGGACGACGACGGACGACGACGACGAAGATGACGACGACGAAGACGGACGACGGACGCCAAGTAATGAGAAAAGCTCACTTGGCCCTTTGGGCCAGGTGAGCTAAAAATAAGTAACATAATGTTTCAATGTATATTGGAACAGTTTGGTCAAATTTACATTTTTGTGTCCATTTTTTAGTAAATTTAGTCTTCGAAATATACAGAACCTATCTACTGACAATAAAAAATTTAAGAAAAGGTCATTCACACCTTTCATTTTCCATCTGAGCCCGTTTAATAATCACATATCACTCTGTACTAAACTTACTATATCTGAGTCACAATGTTCAAATATTTTACATAATAAAGTAGATTAATAATCATGAAAGTCTTCTAGTTCATCACAGTTTATATATATATATGTATAATATCTACATTTTCTTATGCCCGACGCGCTAGACCACTCAAACACCTAGGCTCTACAATAATAAAGCTTTTGGTGGCCGGTTATTACCTTTCCTCGTCAGTTTTTAATCTAGCGTCGTAACACAGTACATGATATATAAGGCATGATGATGGATTTTTTACAGATCAGCTGAATTATCTATCGTAAAGGATCTTACAAATTAATGCAGGATGTAGTCACACAAATAATTATGTTATAAGTACGTCTGAACCAGTGACAACTCTGAGACAGATTTTATTCATCGGATCACCAGCAGTGATGGTGATACAAGGCTGAAAATACATTCTGTATATATATTTCGTCTAAACATCAGCCCAACAATGTTAGTTCTGTAAATTTGCTTTCGCAAATTTTGTGTTCTTCCCTCGCCGGGATTCGAACTCATGCTACTGAGATATCGTGGCACCAAATCGCCTTGCACTATGCCCGACGCGCTAGACCACTCGACCACCTACGCTCTACAAAAAAAAAGGATGCAATCACAGACATAATTATATAATAAGTACGTCTGAACCAGTGACAACTCTGCGACAGATTTTATCCATCGGATCACCAGCAGTGATGGTGATACAAGGCTGAAAATACACTCTGTATATATAATTCGTCTAAACTTTTTTGTTCTTTTTTGGAGGGAAAGTATAAAGTTTAGATTTTTCATGTTGCTAAGACTGGTGACAAAAATCTGGGCCATCAATACCTTCATACAGAAATCATTTATATATTGCCATTGGCGATTGCCAAATAAACGGATCACCAGGTGTAATGAATGGATCTTATTTATAAATTAATACCAAACAGAAAACAATAAACTTGCGGAGAAGATGGTATACCGCAAACATGAGGTGCAAACATTTGTACACCATATCCGGATTTCGACAATTAATGTCTCTTCAGGGATGTTAGAGATCGAAACGATATTTTGAAGGCCATATAATTTACCTCAATTTAGGATAGACTCTTGAATTTTAAACAGTCGAAATAGGATGAACGGATCATATAAACCCGAAGGAAAATATAATACAAGCCCAAACAAAAAAGTATAAACAAGTCTAAATTGAAAACAACGTTCAAACCTATGGTTGCGTTGGATAAAAACCGCAATTTTTATACGTGTGCATGTAAAACAAATTTCTTGATAGAGGGGTCTAAATACAGCACAAAAAACATTTTCCAAAAGACCAAAAAAGGTGAAAAGTATATTTTAACAAATCGCATTTGACTTACAGGTCGAACAACTGATGTTCTTAAACCCTGTTGACTGCCATTGACGATTGCCAAATAAATTGATCACGAGCGAGATGTATAATGGATCTTAATTATTAATTGAATACCAAACAGAAAAAAATAAACTTGCAGAGAAGATGGTATACCGCAAACATGAGGTGCAAACATTTGTACACCATATCCGGATTTCAACAATAATTAATGTCTCTTCAGTGATGTTAGGAATCGAAACGGTATTTGGAAGGCCATATAATTTATCTCAATTTAGGATAGACTCTTGAATTTTAAAGAGTCGAAATAGGATGAACGGATCATATAAACCCGAAGGAAAATATAATACAAGCCCAAACAAAAAAATATAAACAAGTCTAAATTGAGTTCTCCGTTTGACAGTTGGAATTTGAGTAGATGGAATAATTTTGTTTAGTAACGGAGCTGATGAAAGAACTGCTTGTACTAAAACGGAGAACTCAATTTATTTGTAAACAAGTAGTTCTTTCATCAGCTCCGTTACTTAACAAAATTATACCATCTACTCAAATTCCAACTGTAAAATGGAGAACTCAATTTATATATTAACATGTAACACTTGTGGCATTCAGTATGTGGGAGAAACAATGGACAAATTTAATATTCGGCTCAATAACCATCGTTCATGGTACAAAACCAACAAAAACTGTCCTCTCACAAGACATCTTCGTTCAACGAAACATTCTTTTGATAATGTTACTTTCCAAATCATAGAAGTCAACACCGAGTGGGACACCACGGCGAGAAGGAGAAGAGAAAACTTTTGGATCCACCAACTCCACACTTTAGAACCTGATGGTCTTAACGAAAAAGATGAGAAAAGATACAGGAAAGATAAAGAATAATTTAGTACACAGCATCGTCCTTTTTATCCTGTAATATTGGCCAATGGACGTTGCTAACTTCAACTACCAATTTTGTAAAAATCTTGAACTTCATCCAAATTATGTATTATTTTCAAGGCAGCTAAATTCAAGTGCAACATATACATTGAGCTGCAAAAGTTTCTTATCATCTACATCCGATTTCACCTGGATAGATGCACGCTTGATAAAGCTCGTTAGTCTAGCGAAATATTGCGTTTATTTTCATCATTTTGTAAATATTTTAAACATTCTTATATTTACATACTAAATAGTGTGTTAAAATTACATTGTTAGGCAATCTATAATTTTATTTGTGTAATTGAATTAATCTCTGTACTGATTAATCCACACTCCCATAGATTTGTATGTCATGTGCTGCTATTTATATATAGGCACTAATATATATATATATAAGATCTTTGGACCATGTGATGAAAAAAACACAATTTTATTATCCATAGTTCTGTAACTGTGTTGCATTACACTTGATTTTAACTGTTAAAGATGCAAATACATCTAAAGCTGAAAAGTCTTCATCAGAGGTGTAAAAGAGATTATTTGGATATTCTAGAATTTCATAAAAACTGTCAAAATGTAAATCCGTCCCAGAAAGTAATCCAAACACTTCAATGTTAAAATTACTTAAGTATTTTACTTTCGTTTTTATATCATAAACATCTAACCAATCTCCGTTTGCTACTAAAATGATTAACTTCCTAGAAGCTGAGCGTGCCCCTATTGTTGCTTCAAATCCTTTTTCTAAAACATATTGCAATGCATGGGATGTATTTATAGTGCTGAATGTTCTATCTTTGTTGACTTGATACATTTTTGCAATCAGATCATGTTTATTTTTGGACAGGGATAGGTTGAACAAAATATCGGGTTCATCAGAGAATATAGTCATTCCAAAGAGAACATCCGGATTGACGGCAACCGTCGTTGTTATAAGCTGTTCTATCGCTATTTGACGTGACCGGTAGTTGTCAAACGACTGATTCCTTCGGGTATCCATCATTATGATAATGTCAGTTTTTAACTTCATTACACAATCTGAAAAAGTGACTATAACATGTATGAAAACTTACAATGACTTACGACGGCAATAAGATGAAAATGTTGCATTGTAAAAACTCTTGATATTTGATTGCAAAAATATGAGCACACGCGAAATATATCTAAGTATTTGAGATAAACAGATAATTAGGTATATTGCATATTATTTTGAAAAATATTTTGTTTTTCAGCGCTCGAGATTTCTCAGGGCAAAAGAATCAGAGAAAGAGACAAAAAGTAGCACTTTTCATGATCTATCTCTCGAAATCAATGGTAATTATTATAACGTGTATGTGATATCAATGCATGTATATTTCAGAACTTTCCTTTTCTTCTGTCTTTTTTAATTGATTAATTAACAAATAAAGTTATTTACATGCACCACCTCCATATTCTTGAGCCTAAAATAGGCATTAACGCCCTTCCTTATATATTTGGTTCTCGCCACGAAACATTTCATACAAATTCCAAGTGAGCCTTGTATTGTTTTTAAAGTTTGATACATTGGTTTAGTCGTGTCCTTCGTTGAAGACTTGTTAACTGCCATGACACATGTTAATGCCTACTCTGTTCATTTTGAAAATGATTTTAGTTTGAATTTATGAGTTTTTTGTGTGTTTCATCTCTTTCGTGGAATACTTTCAGTGTCAAGGTTAATCAAATTTTCATACCTCACGATGTCTTTTACAAACCACTAGCCCATTAGTGTCCGAAATTAGTGTTTATTATTGACAAACTTATTATCTTACTTATACAACTTGAATGTAGACTTTCTTTAATGATGTTGTTGTAAATTTCCTCAACGTCTGGAAAATGAAAAACATAGTCACCCTTGCCTGACATCTTTATCAAATTAGTGTGACTGATTGAATCTCCTATCCCAACACTTAAGATTCGTCCCCCGTTGTTCCGGAAATCTGTTGCTGCATTATTTATCGAGTTCTGGTTCCGATCAGAAAAAAGTCCATCAGTTAGTAACACTACAAACTGCATAATACCATTTCCTCTCGCTCCCATGGAACAGTTTCTTAAAACCTTCAAACATTTGGGAAGTTGTGCAAGTTTATGAGAAGAATTTTTGTAATAAATTTTACTACGAGATTGTATTCATTTTAATTTTGAGTATTGACAGTTCGGTAAAAATGTACGAAACCAATTAAGAAGGTTCATGAATTAAAAATTCGAAATCAATAAATCATCAAATATTTGAACTGGATTAGCAACACGACTGGTGCCATTATTGAAGTATATGTTTACCCTTCCGGAGCATCTGGGATCTTCCCTCGTTTTGGGTTCTTCTTGCCCAGCCTAAGTTTGTGTAGTGTTTTTGTAAATTGTTGAAGGCAGCTTTTAAGTTATAAATTATTATAGCCAATGTCAATTTCAATAAGTAAGAAATGTCCTAGAACTAAATTGACAACAAATCGTAGTGGGATGTATCGAACTTCTAGTCGCTGCACTCGAAGCCTTTCGTTGTAAAACTTCATCACTCGCTGCGAGCGAAAAGTTTTAAACCTAAATACAGCTTCAATTAAACCGTTTATTACCCTAGTTATCTACTCGAGATATTTAAAATTTGAACATTTTCGATCGAGAATGGATAAATGTTGTAGTCAGCTGGATAAGATGATGGTATCTGTTTCTGCTATAATTTAATGGGTTTTTTTTTATTATTACAAACTGTCAAATTTAAAAAAGAAATCAAAACACAAAAGAACCGGTTGTTAATAACTTGTGTTAGAACTACTAAAAATAGTATGCCTTATTTTCACTTTATATGACGTTGCTTACACGTTTTCGTTTCAAAATTTTAAATATGAAAAACAAGAAAGAATAAGAAAATATTCATAATTTCCAATTGTCACCTCCTAGTTCCCGTGATATCGTGGTAACCTCATGAAATGTAGTAATTTCTGAAATTCCTACCAGTTTAATTACTATTATAATTTCGTTTAAACGGGTTTGTGATATTGTAATTTAGAAGAGAGGCGAAAAATACCAAAAGGATATTCAAACTCATAAATCGAAAATAAACTGACAATAAAAAAGTATAACAAAAATACCGAACTCCAAGGCAAATTCAAAAGGGGATGACCACAAAATCAAAGCTTTCAATCAACGGAACAAGTGAAAAAAACTGCCATATTCCTGATTTGGTACAGACATTTTCCGAAGAAAATGGTGAGTTTATAACTAGCTAAACCTCTCGCTTGTATGATAGCTGTTTATAGTTCCGTTATATTGACAAAATTGGGTAAGCAACCCAAACAGACATAATAGGTTAATGTGACAATAATTGGGATCCAGCAGCCAAAACTGTGTAAACATATATCACAGACATACAACACAACTGACTAAAAATTTCAAATAAACATACAAGTTAATCTAACAAAGACGCCAATAAAAAGGGTGTAGTAGATAGTAATAAACTTATTATGGCATAAAAACATAAAAACGACGAAAGGACAAACAACACAACACACAATATAGAAAACTCGACTGAGCAACACGAACTCCACCACGGGGGAGATCTCAGGTGTTCCAGAAGGATTAGCAGATCATGTCCACATGTTACTCATATTAGTACAAACCAGGTGATATGTCTAATTCTGTAGGTCACATTCGTGGAAAAGAGGACGGGGTTGTAGCTACGACAATTTTAGCTTTTATAGTTGACCAATTTTTTTCTGTTCAAATAAGGGCCTAAATGTCCTTACTTCTTTGTTCAAGTATAATGAATAAAAGAAAAGTCTCTCTCAGCAACATATACTAAATACTGTATTGATATTATGGAAATATGTAAAATATTTAACATGTATAAAATTCATCAAATATTCATCAATATTAAAATTCCAGCAGCTTTTTCTTAACCAATTCCTGAATTGACCCAGTGAGTGAAACGAATTCAGAGGGAAACTAACTCTTTATATTAGACAGTAAAACAACTTAACCATTTACGTAGAACTGTATTAGCAAATAGTTCAGGTTTTGGCAATTAAACCAGAAAAGACAAGATAGTACAGCGATTCATATTGCCATGCAAAAGCAATGATAAGGTAACAATTTGATGAAAGAAAAATAGACGCAATTCAGATTTCATTTCAAATCCATAAGTATAAAACATCTTCTGAAAGTGTTACTGCATCTGGAAAATATGAGATAATGACACTATTCCTGTTTTATAATAGTTTTTTTAGAACAAGAAAATAATTATCTATTACTTCTATATCTAATCAGATGTAGTCGTCTCATATCTTCGCCACTCAGATATGAAAAGACTACATCTAATATCTAAACTAAGTAAGTCAATCACATCACACCTAATGATTATATATATAGACTTGGATACTTTGGCCATACCTTTCTTTCATTCGTAAGCTCAATCTAGTAGCTAAATTCTAGACCATGCATTATGTTTTAAAACCTTGATCATACGAAGATTATATGAAATGCCTGATACCAATCGGTGTATAGTATTGTACATTTCAAACAATTTAAAAAAAACTATTCTTACCGCTTCAGCCAGATTTAGAGCTTTGATTATATTTGTACTTCTATTGCCGGCCTTTATTGTCTGGATAGATAATAAAATAGAAGATTTGTCGTTATCAAAATCATTAAAATCAAACTCTATCGTTGGATTCGAACTGAATGTTATAACAGCAACTTGAAATTCGTTGATACCAAGTGTTAGTTTGTTCACTAGGTTGTAAACAAAATCTTTAGATTGATTTATATTGTTGCTGTTACTTTGAGATGTGTCGATGACAAATAAAAGATCAGTTAGTTCTGGGATACATTCTGTAACTGTCACGTTGTTGGAAAAACAATGATCTGAAGAAAATAAATGATGATAATTCAATGTTAAATGTCCCTAACCCTAACCCTAACCCTTACCCTAACCAACGGTCAATGTAACAAGTGTTATCAGAACCAAAGGCAACATATATGAATGTTTTGGCAATAAAGTTTATCAACAGGTTTTATATATTCATATGCATGGCTACCAATTAATGCACCCCTTTAGAATCAGACTTGTCCTGCATTTGTTTATGAATCACGATTTATGGCAAAACTCGGTAATAATCCGTCTTAACTCCATTCAAAAGAAAACGCTATCTTGATTAGTTTGTTATAAATAATAAATTTTCTAAACAAATGCGTAACTTTAACCCATGGAACCTATCTAAAATATATCTACTATTAAAGCTTATTTTTTATTGACGAAAGCCGTAAGGTGTTCTTATTACTTTATTCACCTCGTTGGTCTTTATGATATATTTGTCTAATTGGCAATTATAGCACAGTTTCTTATATTTTTCATCTCATAAGCATAAGATAAAATTCCTCATAGTAGAATGTTGAACTAATATGAAAAATACTAAAACGTTTTGTTTTCCAACAATGGAGACTTTTCGTGTAATTTGGTTGGATTAAAATTCTGAACTATAATGCATTTCAAAATAAAGAAATACTTCTTATAGCTGAAAAGTAATTAAAAATAGTAGTTTTTGTTTTTTATCAAAGGCATGCATATGTATGTATTCATCAAAAGCCTTTTGATATTGTTTCTTTTCTGTAAATCATTTCATGTAAGCAATGTGGGCATTGAAATTTTCCATATGACTTATCTATTTTTCTTGATTCGATAATTTTGGTCCTCTTGAAGAAAAAGCATTATAAAACAGAAAATTAGGATACCAAATTTTTTTCATCTTATCTTTAAAATGTGAGTCAAAAACCCATGAATAAAGATTTTATAGTCATGAAATAGACAATAGAGTGTTCAAAAATTAGATACACAATATGTTGTACAATCCAATGATATTCAGATTCTAGCTTTGTTAGAAGTATCTACTTTTACAATTTTTTTTATTAACAATCCAAAAATTCCATTTAGATTGTTATGCCCTTCAACTTGATATCAGCTTGGTATTGATGTGAAACAAATAATGACTCGATATCATTGTTTGATCTTTTTATTATTTTATTGTATAGCTGATTGACAAATTTTTGTATGGTCACTTGCCAAAAAAACCTTGTTCTTTCTTTCTAATCTGCAAGATGACATGACTTCAGATTATCATTTATTGTAAGCATAATGAAGTCCAGATCGAACTAGTTTAGCTGTTTAGTCTTACTGTTTTCTGTTATCACTCAAAACTCGAAAACGTAAAACAAGTGCTGATGCTAGAAGTAATGCTGTTTAGGCGGTTTCTTTTTGTTTGTTTTGCAATCAAAGCTTATTTCGCTTTGATTCTTTTTTCTTTGTTATATATTTAGAGAGCCAATACAAAAGCCTTCGTCAACATTAGAACAATGACAATATATAAGACTGGATTGCGAGATAAATAGATTCCTGATATATAAACAACAGACATTACCTGATAAATAAACAACAGATACTATTACTTGAACAGTATCACTGAATTGACTGCTGAGTCCTGAACCCCAAACTCCACCAATGTAAACCATATGGCCTAATGAAGATTTTGGTTTCCAAAATAAAATTTCTCTAGTGGTATAAACAAAAACGAGGCCACCAAATATTGCTGTTTCAGTTGCAACTGACGACCCAACTGCGTTAAATATCATATTTCCATTATTTCCGTCGCCGTCGGGAATTTTTACCTACAATCAAAATGTTGTCCTAATGTTAAAATTATATATTATATTTTCTCTAATTCTTCGTCAATTTATCCCTTTCTGCACCCATTGTATAAACAAAATTTAATCAACGTGTGGTTCGTTTGATCTCAGTTCTTCATTGGTTAAAATCCGATTATGACGTCGAATTTTCTTGCTTTCCTCTGAATTTCCTATTGTGACGGCATGAAAAAAGGCGACCATGCCTGATGACGTCACATAGAAAGAACACATCTTTTTGCAGATCATTCGAAAAGAAGGAGTACATTTGCCTGCGTATTGTTTGAAAATCATTAGAGAAACAGATTCCACCACCAAATCTCGTGTAATACGATATTTATCCACTCTCGGCAGTTACATTTTAAATATTTAAAACGCTCGGCGAGCCTCGCGTTTTAAATTTGAAAATTTAACGGTCTCGAGTGGATAAATATCGTATCACACTCGATGCAGTGATAGAATCTATATTTCTCTAATTCTTCGTCAATTTATCCCTTTCTGCACCCATTGTATAAACAAAATTTAATCAACGTGTGGTTCGTTTGATCTCAGTTCTTCATTGGTTAAAATCCGATTATGACGTCGAATTTTCTTGCTTTCCTCTGAATTTCCTATTGTGACGGCATTAAAAAAGGCGACCATGCCTGATGACGTCACATAGAAAGAACACATCTTTTTGCAGATCATTCGAAAAGAAGGAATAAATTTGCCTGCGTATTGTTTGAAAATCATTAGAGAAACAGATTCCACCACCAAATCTCGTGTAATACGATATTTATCCACTCTCGGCAGTTAAATTTTAAATATTTAAAACGCTCGGCGAGCCTCGCGTTTTAAATTTGAAAATTTAACGGTCTCGAGTGGATAAATATCGTATCACACTCGATGCAGTGGTAGAATCTATATATATCCAACGCAATCATAGGTTTGAACGTTGTTTTCAATTTAGACTTGTTTATATTATATAAATATATATTCTACCACTGCATCGAGTGTGATACGATATTTATCCACTCGAGACAGTTAGATTTTCAAATTTAAAACGCGAGGCTGGCCGAGCGTTTTAAATATTTAAAATTTAACTGTCGAGAGTGGATAAATATCGTATTACACGAGATTTGGTGGTGGAATCTGTTTCTCTAATGATTTTCAAACAATACGCAGGCAAATTTATTCCTTCTTTCGAATGGTCTGCAAAAAGATGTGTTCTTTCTATGTGACGTTATCAGGCATTGTCGCCTTTTTTCATGCCGTCACAATAGGAAATTCAGAGGAAAGCAAGAAAATTCGACGTCATAATCGGATTTTAACCAATGAAGAACTGAGATCAAACGAACCACACGTTGATTAAATTTTTTTTATACAATGGGTGCAGAAAGGGATAAATTGACGAAGAATTAGAGAAATATATATATATAATTTGTCTAAACAACAGCCCAACAATGTTAGATCTGTAAATTTGCGGAAGCAAATTCTTTGTTCTTCCCTGGCCGGGATTCGAACTCATGCATATATATATATATTCAAGAGGCTACTAGTATCCTAAATTGAGGTAAATTATATGGCCTTCAAAATACCGTTTCGATTCCTAATATCACTGAAGAGACATTAATTGTCGAAATCAGAATATGGTGTACAATTTTTGCACCTCATGTTTGCGGTATACCATCTTTTCCGCAAGTTTATTGTTTTCTGTTTGGTAATAAATTAATAATAAGATCTATTTTGTTACATCTTGTGATCCGTTTATTTGGTAATCGCCAATAGCAGTCAGCAGGGTTTTTAAAGAACATCAGTTGTTCGACCTGCTAGTCAAATGCGTTTTGTTAAAATATACTTTTTCACTCATTTGGTCTTTTGGAAAATGTTGTTTGTGCTGTATTTACACCCCACTTCCAAGAAATTTGTTTTGCATGCACACGTATAAAAATTGCGGTTTTTATCCAACGCAATCATAGGTTTGAACGTTGTTTTCAATTAAGACTTGTTTATATTTTTTCGTTTGGGCTTGTATTATATTTGCCTTCGGGTTTATATGATCCGTTCATCCTATTTTGACTCTTTCAAAATTCAAGAGTGTATCCTAAATTGAGGTAAATTATATGGCCTTCCAAATACCGTTTCGATTCCTAACATCACTGAAGAGACATTAATTGTCGAAATCCGGATATGGTGTACAAATGTTTGCACCTCATGTTTGCGGTATACCATCTTTTCCGCATTTTTTTTTTTTTTCTGTTTGGTAATAAATTAATAATAAGATCTATTTTGTTACATCTTGTGATCCGTTTATTTGGCAATCGTCAATGGCAGTCAGCAGGGTTTAAGAACATCAGTTGTTCGACCTGATAGTCAAATGCGTTTTGTTAAAATATACTTTTTCACTCATTTGGTCTTTTGGAAAATGTTGTTTGTGCTGTATTTAGACCCCTCTACCAAGAAATTTGTTTTGCATGCACACGTATAAAAATTGCGGATTTTATCCAACGCAATCATAGGTTTGAACGTTGTTTTCAATTTAGACTTGTTTATATGTTTTCGTTTGTACTTGTATTATATTTGCCTTCGGGTTTATATGATCCGTTCATCCTATTTTGACTCCTCAAAATTCAAGAGTCTATCCTAAATTGAGGAAAATTATATGGCCTTCCAAATACCGTTTCGATTCCTAACATCACTGAAGAGACATTAATTGTCGAAATCCGGATATGGTGTACAAATTTTTGCACCTCATGTTTGCGGTATACCATCTTTTCCGCAACTTAATTTTTTTTCTGTTTGTTAATAAATTAATAATAAGATCTATTTTGGTACATCTTGTGATCCGTTTATTTGGCAATCGCTAATGGCAGTCAGCAGGGTTTAAGAACATCAGTTGTTCGACCTGATAGTCAAATGCGTTTTGTTAAAATATACTTTTTCACTCATTTGGTCTTTTGGAAAATGTTGTTTGTGTTGTAGTTAGACCCCTCTACTAAGAAATTTGTTTTGCATGCAAACGTATAAAAATTGCGGTTTTTATCCAACGCAATCATAGGTTTGAACATTGTTTTCAATTTAGACTTGTTTATATTTTTTCGTTTGGTCTTGTATTATATTTGCTTTCGGGTTTATATGATCCGTTCATCCTAATAGTATTTTGACTCCTCAAAATTCAAGAGTGTATCCTAAATTGAGGTAAATTATATGGCTTTCCAAATACCGTTTCGATTCCTTCCAAATACCGTTACAAATTTTTGCACCTCATGTTTACGGTATACCATCTTTTCTGCAATTTTATTGTTTTCTGTTTGGTAATAAATTAATAATATTATTAAGATCTATTTTGTTACATCTTGTGATCCGTTTATTTGGCAATCGCCAATGGCAGTCAGCAGGATTTAAGAACATCAGTTGTTCGACCTGCTAGTCAAATGCGTTTTGTTAAAATATACTTTTTCACTTATTTGGTCTTTTGGAAAAATGTTGTTTGTGCTGTATTTAGACCCCTCTACCAAGAAATTTGTTTTGCATGCACACGTATAAAAATTGCGGTTTTTATCCAACGCAATCATAGGTTTGAACGTTGTTTTCAATTTAGACTTGTATATATATAGAGAGAGAAATTCTACAACTGCATCGAGTGTGATACGATATTTCTCCACTCGAGACAGTTAAATTTTCAAATCTTGCGGAGCGTTTTAAATATCAAAGATTTAACTGCCGAGACTGGAGAAATATCGTATTTTTCCAATGATCTGCAAAAATATGAGTTCTTTCTGCGTAACGTCATCAGGGATGGTCGCCTTTTTTCGTGCCGTCACAATAGGAAATTCAGAGAAAAAAAAGAAAATTTGACGTCGTAATTGAATTTTAACCTACGAGAAACTGAGATCAAAGGAATCACACAATGATTAAATAAATATAATCAACAGGTGAGGAAAAGGATAAATCGGATTAAAAATTACACTGTTTCTAAATTATTCTTCCTCTATAAATCGTTTTTAGTGTAGGAAAAAAATGATTAACAACATTGATTTAGTGAAAATAAACACTTTGAATAATTCGCACGCCCGATGTTCTTTTCTAGGTTAACATTCATATGTAATACCCTAACCTAAACATTTGAAAGCCAGAGATGTAAACATGTGTAAAAACGTTAGGAGCTATGTGATGAAGAAACCGAACTTGAAGAATAAGTCGACGACGACGAGGTTTTTTTTTAACGACATTGACTACTCATAAGGGTCTTTCACGGTCGGTAAAGAATAACTCTAAAGAATAACAGTACTGTAGTTGAATAGTTGCCACCGTCAATTGTCGATTTGACGGTCGCAAATGCAGTTTTACTGGCGACGCGTATGAAATCATGAATGATTTTGGCGCAAAGACGTCATGGCTAAACGTGACGTCATACAAATGAAAACTTACAAACTGGAGGTTATTACGTTACCTCTACGATTCAAATTTGGATAACATTACACTAAAACGGCGAATTCGAGGTAGGTGTTGTTTTATTTTCGATAATATTGTAGTAATCTAACATTTGTTGATCCAATCAATTCAAAATGGCGAGTCCCTTCTTAGTTACGCCTGGTCAACTGTGGATTTGAAGGTAACTTTTAGCCAATGAAAAAAATTGTTACATAAAAATTGCATTAAGTAAGTTAACCCAAAGGTCAACTTTGCCTGAGGGAGTTGGAACCTAAGTTTCTTAATAGTTTCTTAATTTACCAACGATAAATTTTGAAAATAAAAAAATAAAGTAAGCACCGAAGCACCGACTACTTAGCGGATGACACCCTCGTGAATTAACAGTCCATCAGCACCTTATGCTTGTATATGAAAATAAAACTTTATAAATTTTTTGCGTCTTAAGCAATTCTTGAGATTTTTTTAATGAAAGGGACAAGAATCCTCCCTGGCATATGCCCTGATTTTTTTATTTGTACTATTATGTCAAATGATAAAGTCACAGACAGTTTCTTTAGTACCTTCAACTTTATTAGTAACTATAAAATTTTGAACAATGTTTAGAGTTTAGAAGTTTTGAAATTTGGAGTTCGGCATTTTTGTTATACTTTTTACTAGATATCGCATGTTACCAACTTTTTTTACGTTGGAGATTGTTACAAAAAAGAGAATGAAAGAAATTTTAAAGATGTTTATTGTGTTTATTTTTTTTTGGGGGGGGGGGGGGGGGGGGGTAATTTAATTTTTTCGGGAGGGAGGGAGTGACGGTATGTTTCTGTCTGTATGACATTGGAATGTTGACAATGGATACGATGTTAACATTGAAAGGCTGACCTTGTTACATGTGTAACAAAAGTGTCAACATGGAGGTCGACAATGAAGCCAATGTGATTTAGTATTAGCAAGAGTGAACAAAGTTGATACGATGAAGGTAAAATATTGTAATTATCGCGCTCGAACATGTAAAACATATTAACTTAGTGCAGGAGCAATAGAAAATGTTGATAGGATGTCGTATACAGATTTGATTTGTTAACATTGCAATGTCAACATTATCGACTGATTAATTATTGGTGTTGAAGGCCACTTTCAAACTACTGTCTATTTCGTGTAGGGCAGCTTTTCTTCATGGAGGAAACCGGAGTGTATCGAGAGAACTACCGACCTTCAACTGGAAAACTAGAAATCCTAGTCAATAAGGATGGAGTCGTGGTGCAGCCACGTGTAAGGTTCGAACTCACAACCTTAGTGTTGACAGATTAGTGATGCAGGGGATGAACTACTTTGACCACTCGCTCCCAAATGTCGATGTGAAAAAGGTAAACAAAGTAGGACGACATTGCTATGATGATGAAGTGCTATTTTTTAACATGGTCAACGATGTGAACAGATGATTGTATTAATAAAATGTTAAAATGATGCGCATGGTCAATATCGAAACTATATCAAGAGAGGCGAAAGATACCAAAGGGACATTCAAACTCATAATTGAAAAAAAAATTGAAAAACCCATGGCTAAAATAGAAACAGACAAACATACAAACAACAGTACACAAAACACAAAATAGAAAACCAAAGACTGAGCAGCACGAACCCAACCAAAAACTGGATGTGATCCGTCAGGTGCTCCGGAAGGGAAATCATATTCTGCTCTACATGTGGCACCCGTAATCAAGGAAATCGATACAATCAAAGTCTCTGAAGGCTGGACGGTGATGATATGATGTTAAAATTATTATTTTCACATCACTATAGATAAGACCATGGTTTTCAGTTCATTGGACACACGATAATATTTACATATTTTCACAGGATATATTTATTTGCTCACATCGCCTAAATATCTTACCTGTACAGTTATTAGATAATTTGAAAAATCATATTTCCTCGGAAATTTAATCGATGGTTCCGGTACATTATTCTTGGTAACGGTGAAATTTGTCTGAAACATTATATTAGATTTATCTGTTTCCCATCCAAGAATCGATACATTACCTCCATTACAATATACGTTTAGGCCCCATCCATCTCCTGCTCCAAAGATACCAAGTTGATGAACTTGAAAATAGATCATACCAATGGTTTATGTAAGTATTTTAATATATTAATCTTAATATCATTTTGGAGTGATTTCAAGTTTATAAAAACGGGCGCTGTTTAACAAAAATAGTCCTCTTGAATCTGAAAATGAAAAAAAAGTTTTATAAATGTATTGATATAAAAATGAGGAGATGTGTTATGATTGCTAGATAAAACTATCCTGTAGAGACCCCAGGACGAGGATGTAAACATCTAAAGGTTGGCGTACGGTCTTCAACAATTCTCATGCTTTAAATAAGATATAACATGCGCCACCATGACAAAATATGAAACAATTCAAACGAGAAAAACACTGGCCTGATTTAAGTCCTTTTATTTTTATTCATGATCGTAAATAATGCATTATACGCCAATGAAATGAAAAAAAAGGATGATCTCGTTATATTGTTTAAAAGCAAAATAATTTATTATACTTCACGTTAAAATGCCAGATTTTGATTGGCTAATACGAGGGAGATTATTTACTCTATCCCATGGCTGAGCGGGAGACAATTTTTTGAATGTCACCCTCTCGTGAAGACCAATCAAAAATCGACAATCTAGAGGACAATGAATTGAAATTACATCAAATAATTAACGACAATACTCAATTTCTACGTTTTGGCTCAGAACTTTTTCATAGACTGTCAAAATAAAAAAATAAAAAAATCTTGCGTCACTTCTGTTGATTTTTTTAATACCTGTAACGTTGTTATGTACGTGACTTCATAGTAAAATACTTTAAATTTAATATTCAACAGTAAAAGACAATAATGATAGGACATTCAGTATAATAAATTAAATAACACATAGGTGAGAGGGTGATAGAGCAGATTGGTTCCCCTCGAAAAAACATTGTCAACCTTGGCTTCGCCTCAGTTGACAATGTTTTCTCGGGGTAACAATCTGCTCTATCACCCTCTCAGCTATGTAGTAAAGTATAGTAATAAACTATGTCGTCTTGTACATAACAATCATCCGTATTTATTAAAGCGCACACTTGAGCAAGCGTCTCCGTGAAGGGTAATAGAGTATTTGCTATGGGATAGTATATAAATAACACATAGCTGAGAGGGTGATAGAGCAGATTGTTACCCCGAGAAAAAATTGTCAACTGAGTCGAAGCCAAGGTTGACAATGTCTTTTCAAGGGGTAACAATCTGCTCTATCACCCTCTCAGATATGTGTTATTTAATTTATTATACTGAATGTTCTGTTATTACTGTCTATTAAATTTCAAATTCAAAGTAATAAACTATGTCGTCTTGTACATAACAACCATCCGTATTTAATAAATCGCACACTTGATCAAGCGTCTCAGTGAAGGGTAAAAGAGGTTACAAGAACGCAATTATTTGTTTACATTTTACCGGCAAGTTTTTTACCCCAAGATGGTACTCTGAATAGAATCCTGTACGGCTTCTGATTGGATGATACAGAATTGGAATTACTTTTAATCGAAAGCTTATCCAATTAGGTTTTAAAAATCCAGAGAATCAAATTCACATTTTGCAAAGTATAGAAAATATCTTCCATTTCTGCACGTCGGGGCCATTAAAAATATGCCTTTTTCATTAAGCGAAAAAAACAGACGATCTTTTTCAACTGCATTTTAAGTCAATTTTTGCCGCATGACCATATATATTTTTTTTATTGTAATGCAACACTGGCATTTCCAGTAACAGGAACTGCTACCCGTTTTTCCCTAGTGTGTGTAGTCTTGGAGAAAAAAAATACGGAACACCACTGGTACCCTATGGAAAATGCATTGCGAATAATTGCGCTCTTGTAACCTAGAGTATTTACCATAGGATAGAGTAAATTGTCTCCCTCGTATTAACCAATCAAAATCTGGCATTTTGACATGAAGTATAATAATAATTACTATCCATACAAGGGGTAGCCAATAGAGTATAAAACCAACTCTTTGTGTCAAAATGTCTATATTTGGTTGCTCAGCACAATCAACAAAATTAACATATATTGCCATCCTAAAAGATGTTTCTCCCTCATAATTGGACCAAAACTCGAAATATCAGTAGATTTGTGGTATGATTTGTTTTAAAATAAGCAATTCTGTGTTTTCTCAATGCCATAAAGTAGTAGTACACAGTTTGGAAAAAAAATTAAAATTAACATTCATAATTTGGTCCAAAGTAGAATTTCAAGCCATTTGAGTGATTACTTTTCTGCAGCCATTGTCATTTATCTATCATGAGATCAAATAACAATCATTTGAATTTCATCGCATTTTTCAAAAAATTGTAAAGTTCGAGCGTCAAACATTTGTTCGAAAACCTCACAATTTCTGGACCCATGGACGGTATGGATGTGAATATACGGACTGTCAAACAGAAAAAAATGATGTTGATATAAACCCACTTCACTTTGACGGCTATATTATTCTTCAGCTATATGAATTTGAACCTAATTTCTTGCACAATAACTTTCATATTTGAAAAATTCACCGGGACCAAAGTGCGAAAACTATGTATTGCTACCTAAATAAATCTTCCAAGCGAACTTGATAATATTTGACGGAGCTGAATCTCCGGATAATATAAATCGAACGTTCAAGAAATACGGGTTTGTCACATTCTCTTTTGGAAGATTTGTTTTATCCCATCTTTCTCAGGTGTCCCACACATAGCAAATTTGTATGTATGATTATGAGTTTCGTGTCAACTCCTTTATCAAAATAAATTTCCAAATAAAACATTCCCGCATGCACCGATCTAGTAAATATAGATATTGTTATAAGAGGATATAACTAATATTGCTTCAATGGTGAATTTGAAATATTGAGAGTTTTCCTTTTATCAACCATGCTTCCAGATCATACTTGCCTTCCAATTTAGAAATTATCCCAAAAATTTATAAAGGCATGGATTTACATTAATTCTTGTATATTAAGGACGATGCCATATGAACAATAAACTCAAAGAGTTGTTGAAAGGGTTCTTTAATTACAGAGAGCATGACACACTCCCGACACGACGTATCAGATTTTAGATTTTGAGGTGGCTCATTTCCAAGAGACAAACAGTCTCCCACTCCTCTTTAGCATGATTTTCCCTGATGGATGAGAGAAGTCCGCGGATAAAGTTTATGTTATGCATACACATTATTTTCTCTGACGGATGAGAGAAGTCCGCGGATAAAGTTTATATTATGCATACACATTATTCTCTCTGACTGATGAGAGAAGTCCGCGGATAAAGTTTATGTTATGCATACACATTATTTTCCCTGACAGATGAGAGAAGTCCGCGGTTAAGTTTATGTTAAGCATACACATTATTTTCCCTGAGGGATGAGAGAAGTCCGCGGATAAAGTTTATGTTATGCATACACATGATTTTCTATGACGGATGAGAGAAGTCCGCGGATAAAGTTTATGTTATGCATAAACATTATTTTCCCTGACGGATGAGAGAAGTCCACGGATAAAGTTTATATTATGCATACACATGATTTTCGATGACGGATGAGAGAAGTCCGCGGATAAAGTCTATGTTATGCATACACATTATTTTCCCTGACGGATGAGAGAAGTCCGCGGATAAAGTTTATGTTGTGCATACACATTTTTTTCTGAGCAAATAATACAAAATACAGCATATTTTTGTAAATTTCCAAATAAACTACCCGTTGATGAGTAAAATACATTTAACACAATCCGTTTATAGTTTGTTACCGAATGACGGCCTTGCAAACAAAAAAATTTGTTCATAATTGAATATATGTATATAAATTACAAGCTATATAAAGGATAAATTTGGATCAATTCATAAGTGAATACATACTTTTTTGTAAATCAAACACGCTATTATTTACAGATGTCTGGAATTTTTTTTTTTAAATTATCATGTCATTAAATGTTGTAATAATGTCACGTAATCATTAACATAACGTAGCTTATGTATTATAGATACAATGGATAAGCGTTTATTCGGTAATAGTTATCCCATGAGGACACGGTGTGTCAGTGTAAGATCACCCCAATGGCCGAAGGCCGGAGGGTGATCTTAAACTGACACACCAAGTCCGATTGGGATAACTATTTTACATCCCAGCTCTTCTAGACTATATGATACAACATTTACGCTTCATAACATTTAGTTCAGAATGCCATACAATAATTACAATATACTTTATATATTACTATATAGTATATACCCTTTATGAGCCCGGATACAATGTTTAAATATGTTAAATTAACAGCAGGTTTGTATCCAGTCGTTCTGGTGTAGGAGTATGAATCGTGGTTTCACATGCTTAAGGTCTTGAGTTCGATTCACTGCATAGACACTGGAAATTTAGTGGATTTTTTTACATAAATTTTGAAAGTTAGTCTTTATTCCGAATAATTATAAGTTTTATTGTATGTTCGACATTCCGGCCGTCGGGGTTTCTTATCCAGACACACCTATCACTCGGTGTATAACTATTACTAACACGGACACTTTTATGAATAGAATCACTCGTGCATGATCAGTGAGTTCATGGGCACTTTAAATTTCAATTAGATTTGAACTTTTTGTTTCACCGACATATTTCCTGTCTTTTTTATTAAAATATTTACGTTAGCATCAATAACTATATATTTTTTTCAAACCATTCCAGTAAATTACTATTCATATCAGTACACTAAGGGATTGACCATTTAACTTCAAAAGGGAGGTTATGGTTTTTTCCTAAAAAAATATTTTGATCCCAATTTTATGAGAAAAAAATATATTGTGGTCAAGCATATGACAAAATAATGTTCTGATTCCTGATTTTCCGAATACCGTATATACATGTAATAGTGCTAATTTCGAAAAAAAAAATATTTGAGTGATAGCGTTGAAAAACTAAATAATTTTCTTACTCAGAAAAGAACTTGCCCCTTTTGAAGGTAAATGGTCGGTCCGTAACTGTATTTTTTTTTCAATATATGGACATGAATAGTATTCTGGACAATGCTGAAAGTAAAG